AGCCAGAAAAGTAACTTCAACCTTACTTTTTCTTATTATTACACAATTCAGCGTGCGAAAACAAAAGTAACGTGTTTGGTGAAAAAGTTGACTGATAAGCCTGATAAGCCAAAAAACAGTGTTACCAAACGGCCTCTATATTTTAATACCAACAAGCAGAAGATACTTAAAGGTAGTAGGAACAAAAATGCTTACCTTGCCCTTACTCATTACCTTCTTATTATCTGCTCATTGAAATTCTTGTTTGGTTGAGTTAGACGTGAGTTTATAGAGAAATACTATACTCTATGTAGCACCGATATCGGTACGCGGAATCGCGGAAACGCGGACACGGGTACGGGGATACGGCAAAACAAAAAAAGTAGGATACGGATACGGGGTCATATTTTTAAATATTAAAAGTTATGGGGGTGTATTTACAAATATTAAAAGTTACAGGGGTGTATTTATAAATATAAAAATAGATTTTTTTTTGGAAATATATACATATAATATCCTATGAAATATACAAAAAATAATTTTTTTGGATATATATATATATCCTATATATACATATATATACCCATTCATTACATATACATCATAATATTTCTCATATACACTAGTGCATCTCGAAATATAAATGTAGACATGTAGTCGATAAGTTATTAATTTAAAATGAGAAATAAGTCAAACAACTACAATCTTGAAATTAAAAGTGCAAGTACCAACGTTCTAGAATAATTAAGATAGAAAACAATATTTTAAAAGCTCTAACATCTAATACATATTTTCACTCGAAGTATTAATTTCCAGAAATAATATCATCTTCCAAAAAACTTCCAATGATACGGGTATCCGTCAGGATACGAGTATCGGAAACTTTCAAAAAATTACAAAAAAAAAATGAAAACTTTTAAAAATTACAGATACGACCCGGGAACGTACGGTACGGGTATCCTAGAGTATCGGATACGGGAACGTATCCGATACGTCGATACGCTACCCTAGGGAAGTATCCGTGCTTCATAGAGTCTATACTTAATGAGTTGTTTGAAGAAATGAAGATTAAACATGCAAGCAACTCAATAAACTCAGTTACCCCTTTATTTATTAACATAAAAATAGACTAGTACGAGTCACCTAACTTGGATTACACTCAAGATTAGAAATGAAAATTTTGGACTTTCAAAATTTTCTACTATATATGTAATGTTTTTGTAAAATTTTGATACTTTATTTAGATTCGCCCCCCTTAACTTTTTGTTGAACATTGCCCCCTTAACTTTTAGTTTTTAAAATTAATATATAGTCTTACATAATGTAATACTTAATTGAAGATATAAAAAGGGATCATCTAAAATAATTTACATAACTTAAATAAACAATAGAAGAACTCATTATTTGAGATTTAGGATACTTATTATATAAAAATTCTTAGTTTTGTAATGTTTAATTATCTTTATTCGATAACTAGTAAACAATTTTGAAAAATATATATCAAACGATATTAAATACCAGACAATCTAGCTACAAAGTTTTTAGATAATGTGAAGTGTAATACAAATTATAAATGTTTATTGCCATTGAATTATATTATTCATTTACTTCTTACGTTCTAAAAAAGACTTTATTGCATAGATAATAAACTTTAATTATTTTAGCATTAATACAAATATAATATGCACTATATATATGAATTAGCAATATAATATTATTCTAAAAATAATAATATCATAAATACTATTGTAATATTAAAAGAACTGCTTGTGACTTATGAACACTCATGCAGTTAAACAATGTTGAAGTTATTTTAAAAGTAGTGGTGAATGTGTACCTTATAAGCTCTTTATATTTAAATAAAATGTTATATATCCTTTTTTTATTTTCTTATCATTTTCCATTTATTTGTCATTTCTTATGCTTTAATGTATCAATACTTTTTTCTAGAGCACTCCAATTATAAAATTTAAGTTATTTTGTCATTGTCTAAACTTAGAATGTAATATATAGATATAAATGTCGTCATGTATGTATTAATGATTTTTTTTTGAATAAAAATAGCCGCAGAGCCTTACACTAGTGAAAAATTTCGTCCGCTACATCAGAAAAAAAAATTCCCCGCTACGCGATTGAATTTTTTTATCTCCTACACTAACGAAAATTTTCGCCCCCCTTGACTCGAAATCCTGGATCCGTCCCTGCTCAAGATTATTAGAAAAGTAAGATATACACTCTATGTACAACTAGACTAATCTAAATGTAATAATTTGTGAGATTGTAAGTCATTATAATTCTTAAATAAAAGTCATATGAAAAGGTCAAAACAAATAAACTAATCTCAAACGTTTATATATTACTTTTCCTTTAACAATCAAGTGATGATACATATAGGTGCGTTAAGAAGGTATCCATTAAAAGTGTTGAGTCTATGACTCTATGAGCAGGTGAAAAAGTACTTTTGTAAGTTTTTTAGTAACTTTACCTTTTAGTAACCGAAAAGATCTTAAAAAGAAAATGTGTTAATTGTTTGGTAAAAAGTTGGCTGCTTGATCTAGTTCAGTTTGATATACAAGCTGTTAGGACTAATTGATACTTCCTCCATCCCTTAAAGGTTTGCTAAGTTTGACCGGCACGTAGAATAATAAAGTAAAAGCGGTGTGATAGATATTTGTGCAGAGGAGAGAAAAATAACAGGAGCCACAAATTGATTGATCAAAAGGGAAAGTGACAAAGTTTTTGGGACAACCAAAATAGAAAAGTTGGTAAACTTATAAGGGACGAAGAGATACTAAAAGTCACGAACTTTTCTCAGATGCTACTTCATGTAACATCTTAAAAAAGATCTTTCATTTTTTAAAAATCTCTTAAAAATTTTCATGCCAAACAAACAAGTAGACGCTTTTAGAGATTTTTTAAACAGCACAAAAGCTAGAAGACAAAGACTTATGTCTGCCAAATATGCACATACATATCTACATCACTATATGATGCTTTTATAGAAATTTCAATTAATATATCAACATCAATTTTGGTCGTTTTTTTAGTTAGATCTTAATTATATTCTTTAAAAAAAATTAGATCTTAGTTATAAATTAACAATAAAGCATAGGAGCTTATTTATTTGAAATCATCTCTTATATTTTGATAAGATGCCATTTTCTTACCAACATACTGATAGTGAAATATCACATACATTATTCAGAGTGACACTTAAAATGTCATAATAACATTCCAACATTTTTTGATAAAACATTATTGGCAATAAATCCATTTGGTAACACTGAGATTGACTAAAGTTATTGGAATTGATGAAATTCTAGCTGAAACGATTGTATTGGTTGAACGTAGTTAATTTTATAAAAGTTATATTTTAACATATTTAATTAATAAAATAAAGAAAAATATATGAAAATAGTAAAAATTATCTTCTATAGTAAATCCATCAAATTTAATTAGAAAAGTAACTCTAACCTTATTTGTTTTGATTATTACATAATTAAACGCACGAAATTAAAGTTTATAAAAGAATTATGAATACAACAACAACATACAAGCCTTAGTCCCAAAAGATATTGGGGTCGGCTAACATGAATCGATACATGATATCACAACCAAATATTCATATTTCGATTCATGTCATGTGATGTGACTAGGTGATACTGTTGGCCGACACACGTCTACCACAACACCCTCCTCCTTTATCCTGGCTTGGGACATGCATGATACCAAAAAATGATATCATGGCGAAGTTTTTATAAAAGAATTATGAATAAGACTAATAAATTGAAAACAAGAGCTATCAAACCATTTCTTTCAAATTTGTGATATTAAAAAATGAATTCCATTTTTCATTGTGAGATAATCTACCACAAATTACATCATCAAGTTCACCTTAGAGTACTGTCCCTTTTTTCATTCTTTTTCTACATTGTACGGAATAAGATATTTTCCTATTCTATTCTAAATAAACTTTATTTTTCTCTCTCATTTGTCTCAATATAATTTTTTTGTTTACAACATTTTATCCCATTTCTCTTCTTATGCACAATTTTATGTCACACAATTTCTATTTTTTCAATTTCTACATAAAGTCAAATTATGAGTTAGTTATGAGATGATGGAAGTATTCTTTTACTTTACTTTTTTTTTACTTGATATGGTTAATCCGTGTGTTACTTATTTATGAAACTACATATCAGTGTCGTCTGTCATCCTTGCTGGCTTAATCGACTTGAACGTCGATAAAAATCGAACCAATTCAATTTACATAAACTTTTTTTGTAAGAAATAATTAAAATACCTTAAATTTTGAAGTGTTGTGAGATAAACACCCCTTTCATTTGTAATTTAAATATCCCAAATTTTTATATAAAATATTATTTTATGGTTATGTATCATGTTTTCAAAAATGTAAATTTATGATGTTAATTTGCATAATTTAAAATAGCAAATTGAAAATGTAGCAACTATATACCGTAGGGGTAGTACTATTTATTTTACAATGGAAGTTTAGAGTGTTAATTGTATTTTCATGAATGCTAAAATATCTTAAATTATGAAATTAAGACAAAAAATTGACATTTTTGAAAAAACAACAACACATGATTATGAGCTAAAATAAATTTTTGTATAAAGTTTAAAATATTTAAATTACAAGTTTTAAATCTTACCTCACACCACTTCAAAATTTGAGTTATTTTAATTATTTTACTTTTTTGCTACATCGATTTACATAAGCTTGTAAAATTCAAATAAAAACTTTACATTTACAAATCTTTACCTTTTTCCTCACGCGCGGTCCCGTGACGAAGAATCAAGGACATTTGGGAATATGGAAAACTTCGAACTGTGGAGCTCTGAGCTTTATTCGAGTTATTGCTCTTGACGAGTTGAGCTATTGAGTATAGTTTAAGGTTGCTGGGATTTCCTTGCAGTTAATCGCAGGGACGCAAAAATGGGGTTCTTCAGTACTATCACCGGCGTTTGTGGATTTGGAGTTGGGCTGACGGCAGGGCTGACGATTGGGTACTATCTCTTCATCTATTTTCTGCCCAACGATGTGAAGGTACTTTTTTTTTCTTCAATACCTGTTCTTAGCAATGGTAAAGGTCAGAAGGTAAGAAGTTTCTTTTACCTGCTTTTCTGTTGTCGTCCTCTTGCCACCTTTGAGTTCCTAGTGTGCAATTTCACGTTTTGTGAAGGGGCTGCCAGGAGTCCAGAACACCTAAAAAGGGAAGATAATCCAACTTTGGAAATTCTTTATTTAAAAAAAATCCAACTCTAGAAATTATAGCAATACTCTTTATTCTCAGGTAAGAATTCCGTCTGAAGTGATCACATGTTTCAAATGTTAGATTTATTTTTAATCACATAGCCGGCAGTATTATTTTTTATGGAATTGTTTATATCAGAACTAGGATATTTTTTAGACTTTAGTTAATAGTTGGTAGTCCTTCATCTCCTCTTCTTACCTTTCACGTTTGTAAGGAAATTGAAACCATGGTTGAAATTTGTTAAAAAGGGAGAAATAAAACGAACAGTTTTTTTTATTCCTTAAAAGGAAAAAGTGATAATTCTGAGATGAGTGAAAAGGGATAATATGAAGTCAAATTAGGCATATAGGGAGTTTTATTTAAAGTATTTTCTCTTTAAGAAGTACAATGTTGAAATTATATTGAATTAGGTAATGAGGCATTTGACCTTTTAGGCTTTCAAGCTATCAGATATATATATTTAAGGGGATGAAAGGCTTGTATGTAAATTGTAAAATGCACCACAGAAAGCTCTTTTGGAGGCATCCTATACAAGAATAGCAGGAAATGAATATTTAATGTGATTTGAACTTGTAGTGTATGTGGCTGGTATGCATTCTGGGTAAGATATTAGGTTCACTTTAGTTGGTACTGATTATTATGAGTATGTGGTCAAGTGAATGAGTTTCCTTCTCAAGATGAATGATAAATAGATTTTGAATATGATCAGGATCCTGTTATTCGCCCATTGGTTGAGCGAGACACTGAAGCTTTGCAAAAATTGCTTTCTGAAATCCCTCTTTGGGTTAAAAATCCAGATTATGACCGAGTATGTATTTTTTAACCTTGGATATGCATGCAGTTCAGTGCATTCTTTAGAGCCTAATTCACCTCCCCCCCCTAATATAAGGTTGACTGGATCAACGAGTTCCTGGGGTACATGTGGCCTTATTTGGACAAGGTAATTGTATTTTTTCGTCTATGATGAAAATCTTGGGTTAGAAAGAACATATTATCCACTCTTTGCTCTCTCCCTTTGGCAGGCCATATGTAGGACTGCCAAGACCATTGCTAAACCAATCATTGAGGAGCAAATTCCGAAGTATAAAATCGACTCTGTAGAATTTGAAACACTGACTCTTGGTTCTCTGCCACCAACTCTGCAAGGTTTGCTGAATGATTAATCGTTTTCTGAATTGATTTTCTTCCAAGTGAAGTCTGGGAATAAAAATGAACAAGAAATCTTACTGTATTTATTAAAGTCCTCCGTACATATTGAATGATGATATCCTATTTCTATTACGTAGTACATTATTTATTTTTCCAGTGGCATATGTTTATTACATAGGAAGTTTAGGCATTCAATTTTCTCTTGTAATATAAGTATACTTCAATCTCTAAATACTTACGGTCCCCTTCCTTTCCAGGTATGAAGGTTTATCTTACTGATGAAAAAGAGTTAATCTTGGAGCCATCATTCAAATGGGCAGGGAATCCTAATATTACTTTACTTGTTAAAGCGTTTGGATTAAAAGCAACTGCCCAGGTTTTGCAATCGTCATGAATCCGAATGCTTGATTTTTTGCTAAGCCTTGATAAACAACTAACCTATTACCGGATTTTTCAGCTTGTAGATTTTCAGATCTTTGCAGCACCACGCATTACCCTGAAACCTTTGGTCCCAAGCTTTCCATGTTTCTGCAAAATAATCGTGTCACTTATGGATAAGGTAACAACTTGAATTTGATGTGTATAGACTATAGATAAATGTATATAAGAATGAAAAAATTTAGTAATCCCGAGTCCCGACTGAAACTTGGTCTGTCTTTCTTGTCATGCCAGTATGCTCCTAGACAATAGAAGTTTATGTTCATATTGGTGGTAGGTACTCAAATTTAAACAAATCAGAAGAAAAAAACAGTACTGCATATGTATTTCAATCTATCTACAGGTAGCCTAGAGGAAATGTTCGGTGGTCCGGATAAACGAATTCATTTTGTTGAAGTATTTGTCCCACACCGGAAAACTATAAAATAATAAAACACTATATAAGGCTTTGGGATACTCCTCCTATGAGGTTGACCTTTTAGGATGGAGCCTCGGGTCTTAACATGGTATCAGAGCCAATTTCGGTTGTGGTTTGATGGCTTGTTTAGCACCCATGATTACGGGTAGCTTGTTAAGGGTCTGTTTTGCCCATTTATACACCCCAATATTGTCCAGCCCGGTTCGGGCTGACGGGGCGTGTTGAAGTATTTGTCCCACACCGGAAAGCTATAAAATAATAAAACACTATATAAGGCTTTGGGCTACTCCTCCTATCAGGTTGACCTTTTAGGATGGAACATCAGGTCTTAACACATTTATATACTTTTTTATAATTTGTTTTTAAACATGAAATACAACGTTTTTACTGAAATTAGTACGGGCCCTGACACAGCACGACCCTCCCCAGCTACACCAGTGTTTATATAATTGTATCTATTGAATTGTATGGAGAAAACAAATACGTGTTTCAAACATAAGTTCATATATATATATATATATATATATATATAAAGTAATCTTCTGGCCAGGAATTTCCTGACCGGAGTGCCGTCCGGCCTCCGCCTTTTGGGGCGGTTCTTGGTGGTATTTTTTGCTGATTTTTTTTGTGCATGTTCTTCATTAAATCTAGTTTATGCATATCAAATTTTAGCTAAAAGTTCAATCGGGAACGCAGTCAAATGATTTTTGGAAGATAACTGCACCCTTTATATACATATAAAGCGCAGTTATCTTCCAAAAATCATTTGACTGCCTTCACGATTGAATTTTTAGCTAAAATTGGGTGTGGATAAACTAGACTTGATGAAGAACATACAAAAAAATCCAGCAAAAAATACCACCGGGAACCACCCCAAACGGAGGAGGCCGGACGGGGATCCTGTCCGGACCGGTCGAACATCAATATTCCTGTGTGTGTGTGTGTGTGTGTATATATATATATATATATATATATATATATATATATATATATATATAGGGGAGTGTTCTCCTAAGGTAGGCCTAAAACTTGTAAGTTTTAGGCCTCTTTCATTTGAGGGGCTTCTGGGTCGAATAGTTTTATGAAATTTTGTGAACTTGTTCTTCATGAAGTGTAGGTTATGTCCACCAAATTTCAGATTAAAATTCAATAGGGAAGTCAATTAAATAAATTATTGAAAAAAATTGCATTTTGTATATATAAAAACTGCACAATTTTAAAAAATTTATTTGACCAACTTTTAGATTGAATTTTAAGCTGAAATTTGGTAGATATAATCTACACTTCATGGAGAACAAGCTCACAAAATTTTATCAAAAACTTCGACCCGGAAGCAGCTCAAACGAAAGAGGCCTAAAATTTAACTTTTAGGCCTACTTTACATGAACGTTTTCCTATATATATATATATATATATATATATTTCTGGGGACTCAAATAAATTTAGGGGCACACATTATGGAAATTAAAACCCCTCTTTAATTTTTAGAAGTAGTACTCTGTAATTAGTTCCCAACACTTCTACCATTGTACTGTTCCTAACATGAGTTTTATTTCTCCTAATCGGAATCTATAAATACTCTTGACTATTTTAACAATGTGTTAAGCCATACTGATTTGTGACGCTAAATGATGAAACCCCACTTTGTGCTTCCAATTTTTAATATTTACGATCTGTGTACTTGCTTGCTGTCCCACAAATGATAAATTAGTGTTCTAATATGCGGATAATTGAGAATGATAGAAATACAATAATTAACATCATCATCATCATTACCCGAGTGCCACAAAGGCTCTCACCTACGGTGGGGTAGGGGGTCAGATGTACGCAGTCTTACCCCTGTACTAAAGCACAAAGAGACTTTTTCTGGATGATCCATGGTGAAAATCGCGTCGAAAGTTGCATGGGCTGACCGGTGCTTCACAACAAAGAAGCGCAAACAGTTTAGTGAACCTTTTTGCTTTATTCCATCATATTCCCAAGACAAAAAATAGTGAGTCTTTGGCTCCATTGCAAATGATGGAAATACAATAATTAACATCACACTAAAAAATTAAAAACACTGTAGTCTTTGGCTGCATTGCAAATGATGGAAATACAATAATTAACATCACACTAAAAAATTAAAAACACTGTACGGCCGTGTTTTTAGCATTTTTGGCTTACTATATTTCATTGTTCGCTAATCTTTTAGAATATTGTACATTTTGTGGTCATTTTTTTCATTATCATCTTAAGATCTGTTTTTGGCTTTTGTAGCCACATGTTGACTTTGGGTTGAAGATTCTAGGTGCTGATCTCATGTCAATTCCTGGGCTGTACAGGTTTATCCAGGTATATCGCCTTCTATTTTGAGCCTCTGTCTCCCCCTTCTCCATCCTCTCAAGCGAAGTATCAAGTTCTCAACTTATTTTTTCCATAACCTCAAAGGCAGTATTCTTAAATAGAAAATATAAATGAGTACATTTGCAGGTATGCACTATGGGGTTTATAATTGCAGACAACTTGATTATTTATGAAAAATCAGTATGTGTTTTTGTTCAAGTTGGCATTATAACGTTTTCTTTTTTAATCTGATGGGAGGGGTATAACCTTTTTCTCTTTTTTTTAATCGAATGGGAAGGGTATAACCTGACACTGAGCCATTATGATGATTTGATTACTTGATTTGGTACCTTCTACAGCTTCTTATGTGCATTATCATCTTTCTTAATATCTCTTCCATTTTGTGAAAGAAAAATAGTCCATTGCTTCTCTTGAAATAGCTGGGCGCATATGAGATTTCGTTTGTGTGACTTTCACATGGTTGAAGTAAAGTCCATCACAAAGTGCATTATGCCATTTTCTCTTTCTGAGTAGTAACTAAAATGTACAAGAGGATCATCTGCAGGAGATGATTAAAGATCAGGTTGGTAACATGTATCTGTGGCCTAAAACTCTGGAAGTGGAAATTTTGGACCCCTCAAAGTATGTTTCTGATTTTGTATTTTTGCAACTGAGTTTTATGGTTTTAGTTTGGTCAATGACTAAATGTGTTAAGCAACTCATGGGATGTGTAGAGCAATGAAACGGCCCGTTGGTATTCTTCATGTGAAGATTTGTGGAGCAACCCAACTGAAAAAGAAAGATCTACTTGGAGCATCTGACCCGTATGTCAAACTCAAGCTCACAGAGTCAAAACTCCCTTCAAAGAAGACTACTGTGAAACATAAAAATTTAAACCCAGTATGGGATGAAGAGTTTAGCATGGTTGTGAAAGACCCAGAATCTCAAGAACTGGAGATATATGTTTATGATTGGGAGAAGGTGAGGTTTTCACTCATTCAATCGGGGTGATGTTTGGATAATGGAAAATGCTAGGGACGGGAGGGAAAATGCTAAAAGATTTGTGTGTGTATTTGGATTTCTCCTGCAAAAGCAAAGGAAAATGAAAATGTTTAATTTCATGTTTATATACACTTAGATTTCTTAGTTTTTATATCTTATAAATAAATAAGTAAAAAAGAAATTACTGTGAAGTAAAACATGAGTAAAAGGAAATCAGAAACAGGGGTAAAACATGAGTAATGTGCATAAATAGGAGTTTCCTGGTGTGTGCTAAAAAGTTGGAATTATTCAGTCCTTAAAAAGAATAAAATAGTTAATAATTCTCGTTTTAGGGGTGAACGAGTCATATTTTAGTATTTTTCAGAAAAACCCAATGATTGTCGTATTTAAAAAAGTGTGTTATGTTTTTGTCTTAACTATTGAATCTTTCCTTTGTAAAATGAGTTTGAACAAATGACTAAGATGCATTCACTGAGTTTGAGCCTATATTTAATTTTCATCCAAATTTTATTTCCTCCTATTTTCCTTTATGTTATTCTCCCAAATATCTCCTTCCCTAGTATTTCCCGAGTTCCAGACGGTCTAATTGTGTTTGTTCTTTTCTCAGGTCGGGAAACACGAAAAGATGGGCATGAATGTTGTCCCAGTCAAGGATCTAACTCCTGATGACAAAAGAACCATGACACTTGATCTCCTAAAGACCATGGATCCAAATGATCCTCAGAACAACAAGTCACGCGGGCAGGTCACAGTGGAACTAACATACAAACCATTCAAAGAGGAGGAAGGGCCAGAAGATTCTTTGAAGTCTGGTAAATTTGGTAAAATTCCAGAAGGAACCCCACCAGGAGGTGGTGTTCTCTCCGTGTTAATCCATGGAGCAGAAGATATTGAGGGAAAGCACCATACTCACCCATACGTTCAGATCATTTTTAAAGGGGAGGAGAAAAAGACCAAGGTACATGCCTGCTTTTCCCACATTTCTGCCCTCCAATTGCGAAATAGTTTCATCTCTGACCTCATAAGAGGAGTCATAGGTCCTTAATCCCACAACATCCAACAACATCCAAGCCTTAATCCCAAAAGATTTTGAGGTCGCTAACATGAATTGATAAATGATATTGGAGCCAAAAGGAGAAAGAAGGATAAAAAGATATGGTATGGTAAAAAAGATAAAAGAATATAAGATAAGAATAAAGATAAATATTAGATAAAAATAAAAATCATAAGATAAAAAAGATAAAAAGAATATATATAAAATAAAAAGGATAAAGGGACAAAGAACATAAGAAAGATAATGAAGATAAAAGGATAATAAAGATGATAAGAGATCAATCTTTTACATGAATATCCTCCCTCCAATTTGCTCTATCCAAATCCATTCTCTTATCCAACCTAAGAAGAAACATATCACTCTTGACTCCTCTAATTCACGTCTTTTTGGGTCTTCCTCTCCTTCTCCCTGCTTCTTCTCTATACTTTTCAACTCGTCTAACAAGTGCATCACTTAATCTGCTACACACATGACTAAACCACTGCAATCGAGACTCATGCATCTTATCTTCAATATGTGCTACTCCCATCTTGTCTCATTCGTCAAGCGGTTTTTTCTAGTATGTCCACACATCCAACGCATCATGTGCATCTCGTCAGACTCATCTTTTGAATGTGACATTGATTCAATGCCCAAAACTCTACACCATATAGTAATGTAGGCCTAATTATTGTATGATAAAATTTACCTTTTAGTCTAGTTGGCTGTTTTGAATAAAACAACAACACAACAACAACATCCAACATTCAGGTAAATTAATGCCGCATTTGCTTTTGCAGCAACTGAAGAAAAACACTGATCCAAGATGGGAGGAGGAGTTCACTTTTATGTTGGAGAAGCCTCCTCTGGATGAAAAGCTGCATGTACAAGTTGTCAGTACTTCAAAGACTAGTATTATGCATCATAAGGTGAGTGTGGTATTTATTCTTTGCATTGTTATTCTGAACTTTTTTCCATCATTTGCAATGGAACCAAAGATTCATTATTTTTTGGTTTGAGATTATGATGGAATAAAGCAAAATGGCTCACTAAACTGTCTGTGCTTCTTTGTTATGGAGCAGCAGTCAGTCCATGCAATTTTGGACGCGATTTTCACTATGGGTCATCCGGAAACAGTCTCTCTGTGCTTTAGTACAGGGGTAAGACTGCGTACATCCGACCCTCCCTTACCCCACCGTAGGTGGGAGCCTTTGCGGCACTAGGGTAAATGAAAATGATGAAATGAAAATGATGATTGTTATTCTGAACTTAAGGAATACAATGTTACACTAGTGATGGTCTCAGACTATTAAAGATGATCTTCCTTCTGTATTTTTTCCCTCTCTGCACAAAGGGAATGACAAATGTTTGGTTTTCTTATTCAGGAAATGTTGGGTTATGTTGATATCAACCTTTCGGATGTGGTTAGCAACAGGAGGATCAACGAGAAGTACCATCTCATTGATTCAAGGAATGGGAAGATTCAAATTGAGCTGACATGGAATTCTGCTTCCTAGTCCTCCTTTGCACCTATCCTATATAAATAACCTTGAACTTTGTAGCTGAAGATGTCCCCTTTTTAATTTCGGGTTTGATAGCAGTCCTGTAACATGTCTGTATATTATTATCATCATTATTATTATATATCATCATTGTTCTATTGTTGTTATTTTGTTGATATTATTATTGTTGTTAGTGTTTTTGTTATCACCCTCATCAAGGGTGGATAAGGTCTGTTGGGCCCGAAGATTCTCCTTGAGAATGGGCCGATAAATCAAATTATTTAATCAGACGGACCAGCCCAAATCATAGTACCCGCACATCAATTAGCAAGTGATCAAGTCAACAAAGCTAGGGATCAGTCCAACAAGAGTGGGTAGCCTAACTGAAAGTCAATTCAGTTGGAAATGGAGACAAAATAGCCGGACGGTTGCAAGTCTCGGAGAAGAAGAAAATTATCTAATACATAAATTAGATAGGGATCCATGTAAGTATGTAACACAGGATCATTCTGTACTCACACACACGCATTCAAATTATTCGAACTACTCCATATTATTGAATCATTGTCATTTCTTTATTCTTGATCAATTCATTATCGATTCATATTTCTTCGATTCCCATTTCATTTATGCTCTTAGATTAGTTTATTTTTAGCATAAACAAGGTCTCCGGACGGCCGGACCGGAATGGGACCGACCAGTTCTTGATTCGAAATAGAGAGTAAAATAAGGTTCCAGATTAAGACCGAGACAAGACTACGGGGTGAAGGGATCACATTTGATTGGTAAAATAAATAGCAAGAATAGGAGAAGTTCACTACACAGTCTCTAGATACTAAATGCAGCCCCTAAATTAAATATTACATAGTAGTAAATAAAATTACTCTAAAGATATGATCTACCCTTATAAATGTTATAATACTTCATAATACAACTGCATTGGCAGTCCTAATATTATACGCAGGTTAAGCAGCCTTCATCCATGATCCACCCCTCAAGATCCCATATGTAGGCAGAGTCTCCACTAACGCATGGAATTCTCCACCAACCTCACCCCTTCCATAGATTAAATAGCAAATTAAAAGAGTTGTAATTATATAGATTGATGTTAGTATTATTAGAAGTTAAGAATGTCAATTGTGTCTTCATAATTTTAAATTATGTAATACAACATAAATTTACATTTTAAAAGAAATGATACTTGAATATGATGCTAAAATAACTTTTCGTATAAAATTTGGAATATTTAAATTACATATATAAGATTGAGGTGTTTATTTCACACTCTTAAAGTTGGAGGTATTTTAATTATTTTAATTATTTTAATTATTTTACCTTACTTTAAAGAATCCAATTGAGCTGAGGCTGTACGTTATCTCAGTGGGCCCTCCATGGACCCACGCTCTACTAGTTCCAATGGAAAAGGAAAAGAAAATTCATAAATAAAAGCTGGAAAACGAAGCATTCAGACCATCGATTTAGTCGAGAAGCTCAAGAAGTCGCCAATCACTCGGGGTAAGATTATCTGAGTTTCCATCCAATGGCAAAGACTATTGTCGACGATGAGTACCTCAAGGAGATCGAGAGAGCTCGTCGGGACCTCCGCGCTCTGATCTCCAGCAAGAGCTGCGCTCCAATTATGCTTCGCTTGGCGTACGCTCTTTCTCTGGCCCGTGTTCCCCCTTTTTATGTGAAACTGAAAATAACATTCAACGGTAACTGCAAATTAATGGCTAGTGTATTTAGACATTTTGGCGATTTCATTGTAGATGGCACGATGCCGGAACTTACGATGCAAAGATAAAGGCTGGAGGACCAAACGGTTCAATCAGAAATGAGGAGGAGTATAGCCACGCCGCCAACAATGGCTTGAAAATTGCTATAGATCTTTGCGGTAATATTTTTGGCTCTAAACCTCTGCATATCTATGACTGATGTAGTGATATCTTGTTCAGTGCATACTTCATTCTAGTACCTCTGTGATGACTGCAGTTGGGCTGGCCTTAGTTAGGAGTTTACATCACTATGATAGGAAGAAGAATAAGAAAAACTAGTTTACTGATAATCCATCATTTCTTTAACATTTTACTAGTAGCGTAGCAAGCTATATGTATAAATGTATAATCTTCAAAGTACGTATTGCATTAGCTGCTTTACGTTTCAAATTTATATTTTGCTTATTTGTTACACAGACTAATTAAATTTCGTTTTTATTTGTCTTCCATGACCTTTTTGGCTCAATCTTACTAAACTACCTACAAATGGGGTGAATCGAATGTTCACCTCAATTCCCCTAGTCTCACCTCAATCCATACGTAACATCAACATCATCATTACCCTAGTGCCACAAAGGGGGATCGGATGTACACCGCCTTACCACTGTACTAAAGCACGTAGAGACTGTTTCTGGATGACCCATGTGAAAATCGCGTGGAAAATTGCATGTGAGATAAATTCGTACATAGAAAAGCTAGTCAAAATGTCAAATATAGTAATGTCACAACCATCTGGACCACCAAGCAGGGAATTCCTTGATGCTGGAGTAAGAAAATGCTACTAGTGTTTAGTCTATTTTTGTAACAGCAGATGCTAAGTGGAGGATCTATAGGAAACTATTAGTACAGTGTATTTATTAATACAGTATTTTAGTACATTTCATTGTTTCTGAATTATTGAAATGGCATTCATTTCTATTGAAATGAATACCCACTAACATACTGTACTAATAGGATCTATAGGAAACTATTAGTAGTGTTTAGTCTATTTTTGTAACAGCAGATGCTAAGTGCCTCATCTATAGGAAACTATTAGTACAGTGTATTTATTGTTACAGTATTTTAGTACATTTCATTGCTTCTGAACTAATTTAGTATTTCAATTATTTATCAGCATTTGATTGGTTGTGTTTCTGATAACAGAGACTGTGAAGTCCAAACATCCAAAGATATCATATGCAGATTTGTACCAGGTGATTGTCTGTAAATGCCTACGTAATCTCTTTCAAAATTGAGTGTTTTATTTCAAACATTTTTATTTGGTGCCTTATTGCTAGTTTTCATATGTTTCTATACTGTTTCTACTTTCTAGCAGTCGATTGTACTGCCTCTCCATTGATGTTTGGTGATGCTAGAAGTTAATTTATATTGCATTCACATGCTATCATCTTTAAATTTTTCTGGTCTGCATCTATTTGAAGCTCCAAATATTTGTTTAAGATTTAACTAACTCATCTGCAAAACACATTGCGGACCTTAGCTTGCTGGTTATGTTGCTGTTGAGATCACTGGTGGCCCCACCATAGACTTTGTTCCTGGTAGGAAGGTATGTCAGTTTGTTTAACCAGTAACCCAGACATAATGACATAATGCTTTGACATTGTCATTTGATATCTTAAATCTAAACTGCTTATGCCCATTTCCATAGGACTCCAAGGTTTCTCCAAAGGAAGGACGCCTTCCAGATGCTACGAAAGGTATTGCCAAATGCCAAAGAGTTACTTCTTTTTATTTTCAAATAAGTTGTAGTTTTTCTCTTCCAATATGTAACACTATCAAAGTTTCTCTTACAAATATTGCCATTTTGATGGATCAACTGAACATATTTAATATGTAATCACTAACCACCCACTTTCTCGGTTGAAAGCAAAAATGGTAGCAAATAATAAAATGAAAAGATTGATGGAAAATAAATTATCTTGTGCCGAACAACAACATTCAAGCCTTGTTCCCAAAAGATTTTTGGGTTGACTGAATATCCAGATATTGACTTAAAAATGTAGTACTACATTTTGAATTTGATTGGTTAAAAGTAATTGATGCTATTTGAATTGGATTCAAACATTTGTTTAAAAATTTAAGAAATAATTCATTATTGATTCATTAGTTGAAGATTTGCACACGCTCGCATAATCACATATACATACATACATACATACTCACACCCTCATTCACACACGCGCATATACATGCATACTCACACCCACATTCACACACAAACCACATAATGATTTTTTAAATATTTTACCAAATACTGAAACTGAATATGGGAGTCAGATTGGGAGTCGGCAATATTGAAAATTGAGCCTCATATATGAAATCTTATTTTAAAGTAATCGATAATGATTTGATTCATTCACAACCTCTTGTGAATTTGTGATTACAATGGGCAACCATGGGACACTGCCAGCTAATACAGGCCAGTTTTGGTGGCCGACAGTGATGAAGTTGAAATATTGTGTTATTGTTCATATTTCTATTTATTGAATTGGAAAGTGAATATGAGAAGTAGTAAACAAATGGAGAAGTGAAAATATTTGTAAATAGAGAAGTGAAAAATGGAAACTGCAAAGATATTTGTATTTTTTATTGTTGTTCGCAAGGAGTATGAAGCATCAAATTTCAACTTGAATCCTTTCCTATTCTTCCTGTGCTTATAGGTGCACCCCATCTGAGGGATGTCTTTTACCGCATGGGTTTGTCTGATAGAGATATTGTAGCTCTATCAGGAGGTCACACTCTGGTAGGCTACATTTCCTTTCACTATTTATATTGAGCACATCATTCAAGGCCTTCCTCTTTGATTTTCCAAATAGTTTTTCATTAGGTATTTATAAATGTTTAATTGCAGGGAAAGGCTCATCCAGAGAGATCAGGGTTTGATGGTGCATGGACAAAGGAGCCATTGAAATTTGACAATTCTTACTTTGTGTAAGACTCTACGGAAATTAGATCATGCATACAATACGGATTATTGTGTACATCGAAATAACTGTTATTGTTTCTTCTGTTTTGATTTCAGGGAGCTGCTTAAAGATGACACTAAAGGCCTCTTAAAGCTTGCAACTGATAAAGCTTTGATTGATGATCCTGAGTTTCGGTGTTATGTTGAGCTGTATGCTAAGGTAACAATTTTTCCTCAAGGAAAACAACCTTTTCTCTGGTCACCTTTAACTTCAAAAACTGGAATTATCTGTTTTCTTTTGGGATGTTGTTGTTGTATCTGTTTTCTTTTGGGCGCACTAAAATCATGAAGCTGTTCTTAATGTGTTTCTTATGATGCAAAGAATATTAAAATTCATGAAATTGCTCATCTCTGTTTCTTATAAGAAGCTTAGAGCATGAATGTGATGTGCCTACACTAGAGGACACGGTCCAGTACCAGTCCTTTCTATTGTAGGAAATGTAACCAGAGCATGTAATAAAGGTCTGATTCTGGGTTGTGTCGAACTGACGGTTCAGGTTCCAGGCTGGGTTTTACCTGTTTCGGTCCTATTTTGGAGGAACCGGACTGGTTGATCCAGCTTCCAGTTAAAAAACATTGATTCTGTGTTCAACAGTTGCCTGCATGAGATGAAACAACTATGAAACATTTTGCAGGATGAAGAAGCTTTCTTCAAGGATTATGCCGCATCCCACAAGAAATTGTCTGAGCTTGGATTTACTCCACCCGGTCCAAAGACTGTGAGGGATGGTCCCATATTGGTGCAAGGCGCTATCGGTGTTGCTGTGGCTGCTGCTGTTGTGGCATTGAGTTATTTGTATGAAGTTCGAAGGAGAATAAAGTAGATGATCTCATGTTTCTAAGTCACAGTCAGAAGAGAGAGCTCTTGGGTTCTGCTTGCATCTATCAAAGTTTTAGGAGTGAGATTCGTATCTTAAAAGTTAAATAACACCTTGCAGTTGGAAATGTCCACTTTTTGCCTAATAGAATCATAATAATTTGTCTGTATTGTAAAACACCATTATATAATGCATGATACATGACACATACATATTATGAATAGTTGTCTTTTTTTGGCCTTGAACACATG